AAAGGTCCCAGTTTGTAGATTCCATGCATGCGCGCAGCTCTTCCACAGCTTCATCAGACCACACTTTGGAGCTCCTCACTGCAGGTTTCGAGAGCTTTAGTCTCTGTCTGTAAGCAGGAACCAGATGTATCATGGAGTGATCTGAGAAGCCGAGGGCTGGCTTGGGAACAGCGCGAAAAGCTCCGCGCACGGTGGTGTAACAGTGATCCAGAGTGTTCTCCTCTCTGGTCGGGCATTTGATAAACTGTCTGTATTTGGGTAATTCCTGGCTCAAGTTTCCCTTATTAAAATCCCCCAGGATAATAATCAGAGAGTCCGGGTATAAGCGTTCCATACACAGTACTTGCTCTGCGAGTGCGCGCTGAGCCTCGCGCGCGTCCGCGCATGGCGGTATGTAAACAGAGGCAAGAATGAATGAAACAATTTCCCGCGGGGAGTAATATGGTTTACAATGAATGAAAAGATATTCCAGAGCAGGAGAGCAGTGCTTGGAGATCACTGTCACATCGTTACACCAGTTTGTATTGACGTAGAAACAGAGCCCTCCGCCTCTGCTCTTCCCTGAGAGCGCACAATGGCGATCCGCGCGGAACAGCCCAAAGCCCTGCAGCTCCAGAGCGCAGTCCGGGATCCGCTCATTTAGCCAGGTCTCAGTGAAGCAGAGGACACAGGATGTGGCGAAGTCCTTGTTTCTTCTCATGAGCAGGCTGAGTTCGTCCATCTTATTGCCCAGTGAGCGTACGTTGGAGAGAAAAATGCCGGGGAGAGCCGTGCGCGCTCCTCTCCTCCTAAGACGCACGAGCAGGCCTCCTCGCTTTCCCCTTTTACGGGCCCACACTTTTTTGGCTAGAACATGAACTAAATCAGCCGCAGATGCCAAGAAAACAGGCAATAGGTCCATGGGAACGGTGGGTCGGATGTTCATAAGTTCCTCACGGGTGTAGGAACAGCCAGATGCACAGTTAAAAAGTAAAAACAAAAGAAAAAGAGAGCAGCAAACAGCCATGTCGACCGTACGAGGCGCCATCTTTGAAATACTTTTAGATAATCCCATTGTATAATTGAAAGAATTGGTTGACTAATTAGTGACATGTTGACTGCTATAATAATCATAACGGACAGCTCCATTCCAAGTAATAATTCATTATCATTGAACTGGCTTTTTGCCAATTTTATTATAGCAAATAAAGCCAACAAAATGATCAGTGATGCAAGATGAACCAACTGTGGATAACAATGGCAAAGAACATTCTTTGGGAGAGTCATAAATGTGGCTGTATATATGGACAAATAGCATCCCAAGACCCACATCCATGAGACTGATTCCCGTCCTGTGCCAGACCATGTGACTGATGAGCCTGCGGTGTGATAAAGATAAATGAGGCTTCATTACAGCCATGATGGTAGCAGGAGGAGGCAGCGTCGGTCCTTCCATTTTCTCTATTCCACATTATACTGTCTAAAGCCCCTAATGTAGAGAGGACAGGCCAGTGCGCTATGGGTTCAGATTAAATATGTGCATTTCCATGGTGGGCACTGCAGAGTTTACACAAACACACTCTGGCCATGTTAAAAGAAATATGTGCATTTATATTGCTCATTCACACATACAGAGGAGCTCTCCAGACCAAACTCAATCCATACAGCGACATCCCACAAGCACCAAAGATAATGGAATTCTCTGTCAGCATCCATCAAAGAAAAGCTCTTTTCCACGTGGATAACACAGTGGAGCTCATACAACAAGGTTCCCATTCTTTGTGGGTATTCATTCTTGTAGATGGACCTAAAACCGAACTGTGGCCGCTTTGACAGCTCCGCAAACGTGCATGGTCATGTACCGAGCGCAGACCATAGACGCGCGCACAGAACCATAGACACGATACAGGACCACGTTGCACGTGCGGCTCTTGCCCGTCTCTTCCCTGTCTCTAACCCATGCCTCTCCCACGTCTCCCCCAAGTCTCCACACGAAGCGCAGCCAAAACTCACTGAATAAAGCTCAGGTACCTAAATTTTGTAAAATGTTAAATGTTGTGAACAAATCAAATAGAGCAAACCAAAACAGTCTTGTTTTTTATTTTGCTTACTTAAGAAAGAGCCCTGTGAGTTATTATTTGACTTTTTGGGCAGAGAGTGGATTTAAAAAAAAAAAAAAAATCCACTTTTTTGCCAAACTCTTTTGACTTATTGTATTGAGAAAGATGGATTAGTCACACATTATTATTGATTGTTTTATTACCTTCCCTGTGTGGAAGTTGTATATTCGTTTTATTATTCTACTGAAGGATTATAATTATACACTGCATTTTTGTGTCAGATCTCAAATTCTTTTGAAATTATGTTTCTATCTGCTACAGAGGCCGAGATATCAATCATTCTGTAGACGTTGACTTGCAGGAAAACTTCAGGTTTTGGAGGTGGTTCTAAAATCGGCCATAGGTTTTACAGGTCTGTTTTATCAGCTGCGTCAGGCCTTAATGGGCTATTTGACTTGGATTGAGTGGATTATCTGAGCTGATCTAAACTTTAGCATTAAAAAGAAGCAAGTATAAAATCTTGATTAAGAACCGCGCAACAAATGGTGTGAGTACCGAACATCTCCTGGTACTCACCTCACTGAAAAAGTTATGTGCACCCCTGGCTATAAAAATTGCTAAAATGTTTAATTGTTAAAGCATTTTCTTATTGTTAATTGAGAAAAAAAGAACATTGTTGTATTAGTTGTTATGAATTCCCAGGGATAACACAATGCACTACTCGTATCAGTATCAGCAAGAACTCAAATTAAGGGACTCGTACTAAAAAGTTGTTGTGTCCAAAACGAAAGCTAATAAAGGTAAGAGGTGTTTGGTTTGATTTTATTCTTATTTTACTCTTGAACATGATTTCCCAATGGAACGCAGGTTTAGTCCAATTTTGTTCTTGCTTAAGGTGAAAAATAGCTTGTTTTCCTATTTTTCAAGCTCGTTTCATTCACAAAACATTTTTAAGACTGTCAAAATGTCAAATCAAGATAAACCACTTGCTGAAAAGTATTAGTATGTTTGTTCAGTGTGATAAATACCTCACACACACCTCCTCTACAGCACACCTCTGCAGCATGTGAAAAACACAATTAAAGTCAGGCATGTTGTTCAGGTACATTACATTAGATGATAAAATGCTTTGTACAATCATGAATACAAAAAGCCGTGTTCCACTGAGCCAGTGTTGGCGGAGCGTGTGAGGACAATGTAATTGGATTTTCAGCTTTTGGTCCAACAGACGATATTGCATTGTACAGCGGAGGGTACAAACTTATGAGCGTCGCTGAGGCACCTGTAGACTTCCAGATCACTCTCAACAACAACAGAAATCTCCACAAACAAACAACCAGATATTACAACTGCCTCTAAAACAGCGGAGGTCCTAGTTATTTCCAAACGCAGCAATAATAACGCTCATATCCACCCTATATCAGGGCCAATATTCACAGTCAATAGTCTGTGCTGTGCGAGACTGAGGCAAGAGCAGAATTTCAACAACCACAGGCTCAGAGTCTATGGGCTGCTGAGTCACGAACTGTCCAGGATGAATTAACCCTCGGGGCTTCATTCTGAGGTCAGGGATATGGGCTACCTCATTTGGCTGGATACCGCACAATGGGAAACAAACAACATGAAATCAATAAAAAGACACATATCCTTCATGCAATAATGTACTGAGAGAACCGGAGTTTCGTTGAATGCAATATTAGTTAGCAAGAACATTCTCGTCACTGGAAGGAAAACAAATATTATCAACATTCAAAAAAGTTGTGTCTATAGTTGACTATAATTGTAATTGTATTGATATTAGTAATGAGAACTGTAAAAAAAGACTCAAAAAACCTTCGAAAGACTGAAGGTAACAAAGCAGATTACAATTGTTTTGGGCAAATTTTCATCTCATTTCCCCATAGTGACAAAAGCGAAAACGAAAGCGGGGTAGTCATTCAGGAGGATCATGCCTGACCTATTGTATATGCTTTTAACTGTAGGGGGAAACGTCCCCAGATTTGGGGAGAAGTTGCTAAGTCCAATCTAGAGGTGGAAGAGAACATAGGATATCTCATTGGAGGAACCATGTCTCTCAACTGGCCTGGGAACGCACCAGGATTCCCACCAGATGAGCTGGAGGAAGTGTGGATAGGGAATTCTGGGCGTCTCGGCTCAGACTGCTGCCCCCGCATCTAGGCAACAGATAAAGCATAAGAAAATGGATGGCGCACTGAATGGATCGCTGGGCCATGTGCCGCCCGATAGAAGACTACTGAAATCAGTAACACAAAATAAAAGACAAGACAGGTAGCTGTATACGAAGTTTAACGCTTATAGTGTTCACAATGTCTAATTTTCCTCAAGAATACATGTATTTTATTTGATTTCCTAAAAGAAAGAAAAGATAAAAATGCTACCTATAATACTGCAACTGACTGTTGACAACTAAAATAATTGTTATAAAGCTAAATATGTTAAAGACTTACTTTAACATATTGGTAATGGTCTCATGATGTGCAAGTGTAAAACAGTGACATAGATGCATTTATAATAATTTCCCATTGTTCCAGCCTTGCCCCACTCACTCCTTGGACAACACACAGACCAATGCTCCCTGAGGTCGAAGACGCTGCAGCCTTGAGATATCTCCCAGCCAACACTGATAGATAGTCGTATACCAACATTTAGTCCACGCCAAACAGAGAAACACACAAACACTTCTATCATTTAAGCAGAGACAGAGCTGGAACCACAAGCAACTACTTTTGGGTTCATCAGTCACTTGGAATCTCACTTTATTTCGGCTCTTCTATATCAACATTTCTCAATCTGGCCGCTGACAGGAGTGCATCCATCTGAAACTAAACTGGACTTATCCACTTCTATTACATTTCAACATATGAATTGACCAGTCAGAAGAAAATGACAACAATCCAGAAAAAATTTAATGTATTATTGACAAAGCTCCAACAGCGGTCCCTATACAGTAAGTCCCTGATAGTGAGTGAGACTGCTGACACACACCTGATGGCTCCGGTGTCCCGATCTGTCTCTGCGTTTTCCCCACTGCTCGAAGGTCACTGCCGGCTCTTCCTCTTCGCCAGGTCCCTGTGCCTCTCCCCTGCGCTGGTTTGATGATGAGAGAATCCGTGCAGGGGCAGGAAATCCTCCGCTGCGGCCAGACACTTCAAAGCGCAGAGGGAGCCGGCTGACTAAGCGCTGGGCGAGGCTAACGTGGCTAAGGCTGGAGAGTCTGCAGCAGCCTCAGATTCACACTCAGACTGGGAGACGCTAGCTCAACGCTCACCGCAGCAGAGCACGAGTCAGCAACCAGACCCCCTCCTCCTCCAAGTCTGCATGTCTACCTCTCCTCAGTTACCACATTATACCTAATAGCACAGCATGAGTCAACAACATCCAGCAACTCCAAGCATCACACACCTAACTTCTCCCAAATACGGCAAAGAAAACTGACTTTCAACCAAGGTGCACAAAGATCTATAGCACTTTTGCCTGCTATATTAAATTATACTTATTTTTGTCTCAGTATGGGTGAAAGCATAAATGAAAATGGGCTAACAGATGTATGGATTTTATTGTCATCCTTTCATAACTTGAGCTTGAGCTTGATGAGAGATTTGTATGTGTGTTTGGAGTGAAAGAATAATGACACATGTGCAGCGTTTTTGAGTGTCCAAAAAAGCGCTATATAAAACCGATGCATTATTATTATTATTATGATATTTATGCTGGAAGAGCACTTCTGAACATTTGACACAGGTTTCAATTCTGACCATGTTTAAATCCATGTTCTGTTTGTACAAACAACTGAATGTTGTCTGCATTTCTTAACAAAATATATTTAATTAACATGAAGTACTGTGATTATTTACAAATTTACATTGATGTTACAATTATTTTCAAAGCTTATTTTTCTGTCATTTAGGTATAACATGACTATAGGGCTGGACTTTTACACTTGTTATGCATGTTTTGTTGTCTAAGCACTTGCACACTTTACTTTAAAAGGACATTCAGTCCACAACAGTATTATAAAAGTAATCTCCATCTACACTCATGGCTGTTGCTATGGCCACAGTTGTAAACCTCAGTCTGAGTACTCTGCACTTGATGAGTCCTCTTCGTTTAAATGTATGGTAAAAATGACTAGAACACTCAGAAGAAAAAGTACAAAGATACAATTTACAAATAGTTTTAACATGAATGAGATGTAAGGATTTCAACCTGTAATAGACTGAAAGCTAAAATGTTGTTCACCCGAAGTGATGCTTTTACATCTGCTGTCTACAAATTGACTAAAATATTATTGCATCAAATAGCAACCATCAAACGCAATCATGTGACAGTAAAAGCCTGGGCTGAAAAGTTACGTCAATGATGAAAATAATCAAGACAAAGCAACAGCGTTGTTACCTCTCTTCACTCAGGTGATAATTCATATTTGATTATAATGCAAAAAAAATGGATGGCGCCATGTCTACTTTTGCCGGAGCAGCTGTGAACTGTGGTGGTACTATTGTAAAGTGTTACATCGTTATTTTCTGAATTTTATAATCACCAAAAGAATCGTTGAAAATGCATGCTGCCATGTGCTATAGGCGTATACAAAAATGAAGGTCAATCTGACAGTCACAGGGTAATGTGCGCGACAAACACATGCATATCTACACAGATACACTTATAAACAGTACAATAAAAAGTACCTGGATGGGAACGTTCAGGTTTGTTAAATATTCCGAAATATTTAACAAAACATATTTGACTTGTATCTGCGGTGATGAGGATTTTTGTAAAGGTTGCTTTGCAAAAACAACAACTGCTTTTGTGGACAGCAGTAAATACTAGTCTATAAGCACAACAAATACTATATTTATACTCCACCTACAACCCGTTTTTTTATTCTGTCTCTCACCTCACGTTGTCAGAGCACAACATCATGCCAGGGTAAAATGAGAATGTCCAAGGCACATCTAGTTGCTGGATATAAATTTGTATTAACTTAGAAGAGCAGCTGACCTGCTGCCGTGACTACAGAGAGCCAGTGAGCACTCCCAGCTTCAGCAGCTTCATCATGCAAGGGTTGTTTTGCTGAGCCTGCATTGTTTTGTTACCAAAGAGGCGAGGGGTGACTGACCCATATCTGGCACTTTGCATACTGTAATGTTAGCAGTGGCGGCTGGTGCTTTGGGCAAGAGGGCTAATTAAATAAATATTAGTAATGGGCAAACAGTACCGACGAATAGGATAATTTTGATCCAATCTAACAACCTAAAAAAGTATTGTCTCATCAAAAGAAAATTTTGAAAGAAATTGTTTGGCACCAACTTGAAGAAAAGTTGGTGCCAAACAAGAAGAGATTGACAACTGTTGAAAAACTGATGTTTTTGAATAAAACAGAGATCAGAGTTTTCTGTAAATCGTTTTAGATGTAAACATACTTACAAAGTTCCCAATGTGTACTGCAATTGTCTTTAGTTTAGTATTTTTTTCTGATAAATGTTTAAGGTCCTTTATCCCTTGTTGAGTCCAAGCCTTGTCTCCACCTAACGGCAAGCAGGAAAACAAAATAGTGGACTTGCTAACACTCGCTGTTAGCCAGTCTTTTTTTTTAAACCAAGAAATACAGAATTACAGTTTTGACGTGCTCCAAGTTTTATTCCCTTTTTAAGTTTTTCTTCCGAAGACATAGCAGAGAATGTATTATTTAAAAAGTATTCCACTTCATTAAAACTAGCTGTAGCGAGGCCGCCATTGTTTACACCGAAATAGCAGTGATGACAAACGCTGTGATTGGTAGACATCAAACTCATAGCTGTCAATCAACCTTTCTGAGATTAATGTGGCGTGGTCGTGGGCTAATAGAATAGCCCCTCTCATTGTTTAACTCATGTTTAGGAGGATTTGTTTTTCACTAAAAAAACAAATCTCATATATATTTTCAATATATATTTGCTGTATATTGACAATACAGCAAATAGATATGTAAATGTTATAAAGAAAATAAATTAATACAACAAAAAATAATAAAGTCACACTTTTTCCAGCCAAAAAACGAAAGGGGCTTCGCTCACCGAGCCCATTGATGCCAGCCGTCCCTGAATATTAGCCTACTGACAGCCTCAAAGTGGTCAGTGACTGGTGAGCCAACTAAGGAAATAGCTATATTTTAGTCCTGATTGACCTTTTAGATACTGAAGTCAACTGCTGCTTCTGTCGAAGGCTCATTAAGAGCACCAGAGCATGTCATTAACATACACACACGTATGCTCACTAAACCATCACTATGGATTTAATTATACAAGTTTTGTGGTTGTGAATGGAACAAGTGCGCAGTGCATTCAACTTTCAAACCAACGACTCATCCCAACATTTCTAATTAGCACTGAAGGGGGGGTTGTGTAGATAGGTATTAAACTGGGCTTAGTGCCTAGTGTTTCTCAAAACCTTCTATGTGCATGTATTCTCTTTCGAGTGATTATACTTCCAGGCTGCTCTGCACAGACAGGGGCAGGCCTGTGTGTATATTGCGTTGGGCTTATCAGACGTGTCCAATCCGGAGGCAGATCAGATCGAGCCGTAAAAGCTCATTAATTACGAGCACTACTGAGAAGCAAGAGGAAAAGTGTGAGGTTAGGAGACTCAGGCTGGTAGGGGGCGACAAGGATGAGCACCAGCTTCAGAGATTGACCTTGGGTTGAGCGTTTTGCAGATGGTTATGTAGAAACGGTTACATACCTATGAATCTCGAGAAACTGCTGACACATTTTAGCGGTTGCTTTACCCTGAAAAGATAAGAATGTTAATATTCTCATTCATTATATGTTGCTTTAATGCAGAGAAGATTGACAAAAATGTCACCGGTTCATGAAGAAAGCCTTAAGTGTGTCACTACATTTTACAGTATATGTATGGATTAAATAAATTATAGATCTAAAAAAGGAAATCATCCTTATGGTACATAATGAATGCTGAAGAAAGCATGCGTGTGCGATTTAAAATCCTATGAACTATCACGTTTAATTTGCCTATAGCATAATGGTATTTGAAAATGCTATACAGAGCATATTTACACCCCCTTAGCGCCAAGTATATAAATGAACGGCACTGGCCCCTCCCCCACCTGTCCCAGCTCTTCTGCAGGGTTCGTCTGGATGTCATTAATCTGATGGTGCTGGAGTGGTACCATTACAGCGGCACGCCTAAATCAATGCCTGATATGTGCTGCCTTCTTTTTCTCTGTCCCCTTCTTTTTATCTTACTTTTGCATTTTCTAATTCCCCCTTTCCCATAATGTCTCTGTCCAGATCCACTCCACAAGGGGTCCTAATGAGCCAACGAGACTTCATAACAGGCGAGACATACTGCAACATATGAGCGCGGGTAACAAAGATCCTGCTCTTGAACTGCGATAAATGACAAATTAAGTTGAAGTAAATATTTGCATTGGCTAATTGGACTCATTAATGGCATTGATGTGAGTGGGAGGAGCCGTGACTGACGATTGGCCAGGCTAATTGGGGATCTATGATGCACGTGCACGGCCTCTCAGTGCGTTGGGCTGCAGGGAATGATAAATACTTTCTTAGACACACAACACACCAGCAAGGACTCTTCAGAGGGGCCGTCTCCAAAGAGGCTTTCAGCTAAATTGAGTTTGGGTTTAGGGTCTTGTTTATATTAATGACTGCAGTTCTGGCTGAGGTGGGCCCAGTGCTTTGTTATTACCTGCCTGATAATGAATGCAGTGTGACTGGAGGCTCTCACTGCAGACACAGCAGAGAGAGAAAAATGAGCCATACATGTGGAATCAGATCAGCAAATTATGCAATGTGAATGCAGCTTCTGTGCTTAAATATCTTGAGGTTGTTTACAGGCACATTATTGTAAGCCCTGAACACCATCTTAAAAGTGAGTGACTTTTTTTTTTACCAAAATAAATTTGATTCTTTGGAGGGAGCCTTTGGTACACTTATATAAAGAAAAAAGGTTAACCAAGTGGGTCCACACACTTGTATTATGTGCACAAAACACCACAGGACGACCACAGTTCATCCATGCTGAGAGAATGTGTCCCGCAGTATGAAGTGTTTTGTGGTGTGCTTGAGTATTGTGGTAATAGCAGTCTATACCCGACTCTTTGAAAGCCTCAGACTCCAGCAGCAGCTTTACTCAGCGTGAGCAGTTCACAGCGTTGATGTGTAGTGACTGAGTCTGTGCCCTGAGGGTATTTCACAGGCTTGACCTCTCCGTGCGTGTGCACTGTCTCGGCTGTTAGCCACGACTGCAGCCTCAACAAGCTTTAATAATTCAGCACTTCTTTAGCTCCAAGACAAACCTGGCTCCTTCTGCAGGGATTCAGAAGAACGCTCTCCAGCAGCTTTGATTAGAGTCCAGTTTCTCACACTCCAAACGCAACACAACAGCTGAACTGACAGAATTAGTAACTCTGACAAGTCATCATTCAACCCCAAGGAGTTTAGAAATGTGCAGAGAAACAATAAATGAAATGGTATAACTGCAAACGGAATAATCAAATTTTAAAAAATTGTAGTTTACAAGAAACAGGCATTAGATTTACAATACTTCTGGTTTAATCAATCTAAAATCCCAGAAGGCCCAGCTCTTGTTATTAGAAAATGCCCTAACAGAATATTAGGTTTATAAGTGTCTGACAGTGATCAGTGCTGAAAGGCCAACAGTGTAAAGCCATGTCTAATTTCACAGATGCTGAACAAATTGTCCTAGACCAAAAGAAGATCGTGTTCAGCTGTGTATTCATCTAGAGTTCAGACAATGAGACAAAGTCAGGGAGGCATGACCGCAGCAGCAGATGCAAGGGGAATATCTATGGTCTGCTTATGCATCTACACAACACTGCAGTAGAGCTGACAATACGCAGTAGTTGTCATGTATTTTTCTGATGCTGAAAGACAGTTTCCATTTGAACATATTTCCAGTCGGCTACAAACATAGTTCACAGCTCTGAAAAATGAGGGTTAAACATTCAACTGGAAGAGTCAGTCATAGAGGACCATTACTCACACTGAGCTCCATTACTGTTGAATGGCTCGATATTGTTCAGTTGTCAACAGTCAGTACAGTTACCTCAGAAATTGGCCAGCATGGAAACTTAGGCCGTGTTGTTCTGGTACACTTTAAAGGGACTAAGTCTGGTTAACCTGGGGCAAATAAAAACCTAAACAAGTGAACTGGTGTCCACCAGGATGGGGAAATTTGAATTATTGACATTGATTTGGAAATTAAGTAATTCTGTGCAAATATAGTAACAAATATGGGTGGTTTTCCACCTAAACAGACTCATTTCGAGACACTGATCAAATGTGTACAAGCGGTGTGAAGCGTGCCCTGTGAGCAGGCTTTAGCCTTATTACAAATAACTGCTCTCTGGTGACGCTGCCTGAGTCTAGCATGGAGGCTCTGCTCTTTTCTGCGGGCTTCTGAAATAAGGTCAAACTACTGGATATTTAAAATGGTTTCTGTCATGTATAATGAGCTGTGTATGTTTCTACAGCAAATTCAATCCATCCACCTGCTCTGCTTTATCGCTGTCTTTAATCTGCAGGTACTTCCCCATCTACACACATCTGCACCAGCTCAACCGGAGGAATCTCACGGTGCACTGATCTGTCTGTCAATCTCATGCTATAATAATAAAAAAATGTTAAAAAGTGGGATGAAAACACAAACACTGTTGTAATTCCTAAAACATTCACACAATTTGTTTGGATGTAACCTGAAGTTAACACTAGGGCTGTCAAAATTATCTCGTTAACGTTTTATTATTTATTGATGCGTTAAAAAGAAAATGATTGCAATAACGCATGTACCCCTAACCCAGGTCTCTGGGAATTCAAGTTTTAAAAGAAGACCGAGGGGCTGCTGTTGTTTGCTGTATGAACTGACTAGACACTGAATTTCAATAAGAATTTCGGTTTTAACCAAAAATCACAATTGATTCACGTGAACCTATATATTTTTGCACCTTATTTTGCATTCATATGTCACTTCATCTTCCATAGTGTACAAACGGTTGTAAATCTTGCCTCTGCGTTATTCCCTTGTGAATTGCCTTTAAAAGCAGTGGTGCATTGGGCTCTGTGCTCTTCATTGTACAATAACAAACAGGGAGTGACAGGCTGATCTTTGGAGCCAGTATCCATCTCACCCACACCATCAATCAGCAGAGAGCAGGAACAGCCCATGAACGCTATAGTCAGATGACATTTACGCCAACAGTCGCTGTAAGCGCCTCTGCGGCTGTGCAGTGTTTAAGTGTTGCAGGAGCGTCTGTATGAGCCGAACACAAGCGCATGTGGGCTACAAGCATGTGTCTCGTTAGATGTGACATTTCTGTGGACATGGACGCCTCATTAAAGGTCATCTGTTAATTATAAGGACAACTTCAGGTCAGATGGAGGTGATAGGGCGCTGTGTGCGAAACACAAAAGTTTATGGAGAGGAAATTAAGGGACAAGGGAAAAAAAGAGAGTAGTATTACACATAGCTGTATAAAACTGATCAGCAAACCTTATCAGATTGTGCGCATAGAGCAAGATAAAAACAGCAATATCATTTATCATAGATATTTTTACTGTTATAGCACATTCCACTCACGCAATGTTGCCCAGAATTTTTACATGATGCTGATTGCCATCGTTTTTCCTATAAGCACTAGTGTGGGAACAATCTTATCTTTAGAATGTGAAAGTCAAGTAAAGAAGGAGGGGGAACACATTTTCTTATACTCGAGTACTCCCTATAGTCTAGAACATTTTAGACAGAGATTTTACCCATCATGTTTATTGTTGAGCAATTGAATGTCAATATCAGCAAAGTTTATCCAGTTTCCAATTTAAAAGGGTATTTTATAGATGAGAGAACATTCTGAGTGCCACTGGCTCTCTTCTCCGATGCTAATATAATATTATTATTATTAATAATATAATAATAATAATTACCACACACCAAGGCTATTGTCATTCGCTTTTGTCAAAAAATTAATGGGAAGGCTAGTGGGCCTCAATAATCAAACAGTAAAAAAGAGTCTTAAAGAAGAGGAGAATGAAAAAGCTCATGACAAACCTAATTTCATGCAATCAACAAACCTTTGTTTTCAAACCTTTCCTTATTTTAATACTTTATAGCTGTAAGTCACACACTCAGTTCGTAGGGAAGCCTCGATCACTTTTTCTTCAAAAGATTTTTTATCTACCATTTATGTTTAGTGGTGAAATTGTCATTATTATTAAAAGTGGTGTGGTGTTTGGTTTGCACGAAAGTATTCAGAAGCTGCAATGATTACATTTGTCCACTAGATGTCAGTGTTACAACTTAGTATCATAGACTGTAAATATTAACCTTGTTTGCGCTAGCTCAGAGGCTCCGACAAAACAGATTCATGGCTCCGACACATTTGAAGCAATCTGGCAAAGAAAGCCTTGGTGCGTCCCAGGGCTTCATCTGCCCATCACTACAGTATGTAGTGTAACCCTAAGTCACAATAACAAATGTAGCTCTGCTACTTCTCCCAATCAACATGTTGCATACTTTGCATGTTGCTTTTGTGCTGTCCTCGTTTACTAATGAGAAATACTGCCACAACTTTTGACATGTTTTAACGAGTAGCCACATGAACACCACTCACCGCAAAGTTGAGTTACCGTAAACTGCTACTTCACGACAACAAGCCAATCACTGATCAGTCAAAAACCATGAAATATCGGCCCAATCTCAATCATCTAATCGGGACTTTCCCTGATAAACAGTGAATATTTTGACATCAAAGGAATGAAACATATGGACTCAGGTAATACATATGGATGTAATGTGGATGACCCTTTTTGGTCTGATAAAGCAGGGGTTCTCAGATTGTCTTCTAAGCATAAATCAGCTTAAGTCAAATAGAAGCTGAGATCCGTTTGTGGGTTTCAGACCAAACACAGCTACGCTCATTCTGTTCTCAGCATCACAACTGTTTCACAACTCCATTCCAGACCATCTTCATCTTGAACGCTAAATAAGTAAGTAAGTAATCTTTATTTATATACCACCTTTCACAGACCAGAGTCACAAAGCGGTTTACAATTGTGGGCATTTGTCCTCTCACTCCACACAGAGATGGGAGTGGGGTCGCCAGTACAGGAGGCGCATGCCAGACCTATTGTA